AGCAGGAATTCCTGTTGCAGCATGAAGAGGATTTCAGGAGAGATGAGCATGATCCAGGCATGTCCCTGGTCTGAGATACAATGAACAACTTGCACCAAAGATGGGTCTCTATTATTGGCAAACTTGAACCTCCTGCCCCATACCTGACTGAAAATATGGGGTCCCATCACCAGGCTGGCTTTTTTGCACCATCTTGGCTACCTGCCTGGCCTGCATCCTCCAGGGAAACCACTCATCTTCCCAACACACTGCTGTGCTCTGACCCACATCAATTTTGGGTCAGTTTAGGGGCTTTATTTAACCCAGCCAAACAGGGGGATTGTTCTTAAAAATATATCAAAAAGTGTGGGGAATTACCTGTAAAGTTACAGAAAACTCACTGGGATTCCAAGCTAATTAAAAAACTGCATTACTAGCATCATGGCCAAAAAGCTACCTGCCTGGATTTACAAAGTATTAACATAGAAAGGCTGAAAGCTTCCAGAAAGTCATTTTCAGTCTGCTTTTGGTTTGCTATAAAAGATAAACTTTTCCTAAATGTAAACCATTAGCAAAGCATTTTCAGAAACATTTTAAATTTGAGTGGTAAAGCCACTTTGTAGTGGCTTTTGATAATGTTAAGCGTTAAAATTGATCAAGTATGCAAAGGCACCCATGATAGTACCAGTTTTACCTCATTTCTTTACAGAAAAGAATTTGAACTGGGGACAGCCCAAGTCATGTTCCATAACTAAAACGCCATGTCTCCAGTCAAATAAAATCAGTAGTTAAGATACCCAATTACAAAGACAAATTCCAGTTTTTAGTTAATATCTAAAGTCTTTAACATCCGCAAGGGAAATTAGTGTCTAGTTACCCACATTATTCTCCAAACATGAACAGTGACCTGGTCGGTACTGCAAAGGTACAATTTGAGGAGGACATTAAATAGGTTGACATTAGGTTGGTAAGTATAAGTGAAATGCTTGTAAAAAATAAAGTTACAGAGTTTACTTCTGACTGTATTGAAATGTGAGCTGTGTGTATCTAGATACTGCATTTTGCAACAGGACTGCACCCAGTATAACTACATCTGAACTGCAAACACCAAGGTGGGCTCTGACGCTCGGCGAGTTTAAGGAACGGTGACGTGGAAGGGACTCCCGGGGATGTGCTGGTCACCCCACTTCACTGCCAGGATATAGTCACCCCTCTCCTTGACAACATATGTCACGTTGTACTGATGGCTGCCCAAATGCTTGATGGATACCTCTTCGCATGGTATTGTAGGTCCGTGGACGCCAACTAACAACATGTTTGAACCTACAGCAAAATAACAGACTGTCAGCATTCCTAAGCTGAAACAAACAAGCATGGCTGAACCACAATATATCGGCCCCATAACACAAGGATTTTGTTATTATAATTCACAGAGCAGTAGTCTGACGTATGGCTAATTTGCTTTAAGAAGAAATTTAATTTTAAAAAGCCTTCAGCCTCCTAGAGGCAAGGGTTTATCTGTGCATTTTGCCACACCTGACAGGCTACCACTATCTAACCAGAGCACAGGAGACATTAATGCTGCTCATGAGAGCAAGGAGGAGCTGCCTTTCAGTACTTCATTAGAGGTTAATAGCACAGATGGGTGAACATGGCTGGCCTGTAACCTTCCCACTGCAAAGCTCCCCAAGGATGATGATCAGTGCTCAAGGCTTAGGGGAACACCTTGCATTACATGCTAAAATACACCACAAGTGTTGCTAAAGTTCAGCAACCTGTTTGTTCTCATGCCATAAACCTGTGGTTTCTTTCAGGTGCACCTGGCTCAGATAAAGCCATCTAGAGAGGAGCTGGCATGTTTACAGCCTCTATATTAGGACTGATTTGGTGAGCACCATGTAGCATTTAGAATTTTTATTTAGACACAGCTCATCACCTCAGGCTCTGAATTTTAACTTCACAAGTGGATTTAGGGAACAAAAACCCAAAAAATTCCAGTTAAAACACCTGGACATCCAGCTGGTTTCTGTACCTGCTTTGCTGCAGTCCACGGAGAAGGAGCTTTTTTGACCCACAAAAGCCTTTGAGAGTCCTGCTCCCCGGGAGATCACTTTGCTAGCATCCGAGGTGGATTTGGGAATGGCACTATAGCAAGTTTCAGTCGACGACCTTGTCACTGATTCTACCAGGATGGAAGAAGTTTCGTTGACACTGCCTGGGCTAACCAGTCGCTGTCCTGGAAACAGAAAAGACTTGACATTCAGATTCACCCCATCTGAAAGGCATTTATAAGGAGGTTTTGAAACCCTCCTAACGACTGGCATGCATTCTGCATCCATAATGCATTTTCGGATTTCCTGCTTGGGTTTTCAAGCCGACATCTTATAGCAACACTGGCAACAATCCCACCCCAGAGCCCTTAAGTGGTTAAAGGGCCACAGGAATTTCAGGATTCATTAAGCAAAGCTAGCTGCTTAAGAAGAGTTAATTGTGCTCCAATCACCAAATGCCAAAAATGACTTGAGTTGGCAGAGAAGCAGGTGCAATTTTGCAATAACCCGTTTTGAAAGCAGAGCGTGTCCCAGGTCAGGGGAGCGCAGTCCCTGCTGCCTGCTCCCAAGAACATCACCATGCCATGGGCACCAGGAGAGGGTTCACTAGCTCAGGGGCAGCAATAGAGATGAGCTCCAGACTGTGCTTAAACACAGCACTGAAGAGAGAAAGAGCTTCCTAAACCAGCCTTCCTTGCGTCATCTGAAAGCCTCTCGGACATGGCTGACCTCTGGTTAGGTGACACCTGCATCAAAGTGAGACCAAGAGGGGCATCATCTGCTACAGGTAGGGGGTAGGCTTGTAGGGGGGGAGAAATGGGTAAATCGTCATATTTCCCTACTGCCAACACAAGATCCTAGCACTAGGTCAGGATTTAATATTCCCCCATAAAGCTGTTTTATGGCCCTCCACTGAGTCAAGCTGGCAACTGCTATGACTAATGCTCCTGTAGCCTCTCCTGAGATCCCTCATCTAGGCTTTGGAGGTAAAACATTTGGGGAGAAACATTTCACCTCTCATGTTTCTGGGCATCTAAACCTGAATGCCATGCTATCTAGGAGGGACATATTTGCCCAATGATACAAACTACTTCAGGCATACAGTAAATACTGGTTAGCTTTTTACCTGTAACCTTTGCCTTGAAGGGGCTGCCCACTATGTGGTTAGGTCCACCATATTTAACTCCAATTAAATAGTTTCCTGGAGCCATGGGTGTGTACATGACTTTGTAACCTTCTGGAGTTTCCTGGCAGTCCATTTTCACCTTTGATGGCCCTTCAATTGTAACAGAGAGGGTACCTGGACCAGCCTTGGTCGTGTTAATGAAAAACTCCGACTGCAATCCTAGAAAGACGTAGCACAGTAAGACACACTCCTCCTTGCACCCAGTGTTACAAAAGCAGCCTGTTATTACATCGGAAGGGTAATTTGGGGGCAGATGAGGCTGCAGGCAGGGAGGGGCAGAGGCCTCCCCCAGCATTCCCCAAGCTGGGGCTCCGCACACAGCACTGTCCCCACCGCACCCCAACTCCCTCCTCCACTCACACTGACTATGGGGTGGGTGGGAAAAGGGGTCATGGCAACCATTTAGGGCCAAAATGGAAGGATCCTGGCATCAAAAGACTGGCTTAAAGAGAAAACTCTTAGAACAAGAGCCTTTCTACTGGGCGTCAGAGCCCGTGCCAACACAGCTTCTGGCATGGCCAAGCTTAGAGCCATCTTGCTGTCTGGACCATAAATCAGTAGCCAAGAGCCCACAAAAAGGCAAGAGAGACAAGGGGCAGGAGATCTTCTGGAAGAGACAGTGTTTGAACTGCTCGGCAACAACACTCCAAGCGGTTTGTGGAAACAAAAGCTTGTTTAATTACAGCATCTGGTTAACACAGCTGAATTATTGCTGCTAATACTAAGCCAATGACACAATGCCAGAGACACAAGAAAAAAACTAAGCAAGGCTTTCAGCCCCCAAATAGTTTACTGTCAAACTCTGGCTTCAGATATTTATGATCTTTGAGCTGCTTTATCAGACCCTGCTGAGGAGAAATTAAGTGCTCAAGCTCAACCAAAACCCGTATGGTTATGGGAAAGTTTCCTACAGCTGGGACTGAAGCATGCAAGTGTGGTGATCAACAAGGGAGAAGTTTCTGGTCCCTCCACACAAGAAGCTGCTGTGTTGCAATGCTGGAAGAACCCAGCTCCCACAGAGGTTTGTACCATCTCCCAGTGCTTTAGCAGTAAATCTTGCTGGCACAGCCTGCCTGGGAGGCAAGGCAGTCAGCTTGCAATATGCACCACTTGACCAGAGGAAATCTAATTTCCAAAGCCAGCAAGCTTCACAACTTCTCACTGAAGACTTCTTGCTCCCAAGTCACTGCTTTTTCCCTGTGCCCCAAATGAAGGCTGGCATTGTTGAAGGCTGCAGACATGCACCCCTCCCAGGGGGGACCTTTCAGGTGCTCAGCCACTGGCTATTGAAACATCTACACTAGATGATTGTTCAGAAACACTGTGCAGCAGCTCCCAGGGCACAGAGCTTTTGGCAGTGGCCAGGATTCAACAAAGGGGCACAGAGTAACTTTCCTGAAGTTAAACAGTCTATTTAGATTAAAAACAACCCCAAGCAGCTTTATGGATGGAGGAAAATTCCCCTGTCCCTGATGCATCAGTGGCTAGTATTAATGAGTGCTTTTGTTTCCACCTATTAACACAGCACAGGCTATAATCTTTATTTTACATAGTATGTCTGCATGTTTCCAAAACCAACTGCTTGGTTCCTCCAGAACACCAGAAGCTTTGGCTGAATAACTAGTGTATTTTTTTTTCCAGGGAGAAAAATTAAAATGAAATGGTATCCACAAAAGACAGCAGTAGATAGGATAAGAGGAACTAGCTAACACCTTGCGTATCAAAAGGAAAAAAAAATAAATTAGTTTGACTCTGCTACCTGGCTGGGTGGCCCAAGAAAGCAAACAATTAAATAAATCAAAGTGCATATCCTGGAATATTTTAGTATTTTCTTACTAAAGCCATAAATCATATCAATGAAAAAAACCCACCCTAAACCCTACATTTTTGAGTTGAAAACTATCAGATGGGGCAGCCACAGCAGATAACTGGGTGTCAGATTTCCAAGAAGAGTCAGTGCCCACACTGCACCTGGAGCATGTACAGCACACTACAAACAGAACAATCCATTCAACTTAAAATTTCTTAGAGGTGCAAGCACTGAAGAAAAGGTAACTGAGTACACCCTCGTACCCATTTAATTAACAGGGGTATGCAAGTTAAAGAAGATTCCTTCAACTAGGCAGCCAACTCACTATCTCCATTCACAAAAGCCTCTGGCCTTCGCAGACATCTTCACAGGTGGAAGGGAGCCAGAGAATCTCTGGGGCTCCAAGGGACCACCAAGGAGGAGCTAAGCTAACTAGCAGAGTTGTAGCCCAGCTGCTAACCAGTTCATGTGAACTTGTGCTGCAGTTGCTGCTTTATGGAGGCTTTAAGCACGTTAAGGCTCAGTGTAGCCTGCGGACTCGCTAATTGACGGTTATAAGACTTGAGGAGCATGCGAGGAAGCAAAATTAGGCTGTGCCCAGGTCAGCAGAGAATGTGGGTTAGTTCAGCTGCCGCAGCAGGAAAAGTAATTCACAAATGTGCCTAGGAACAGACTCTGTCTCTCTCAGAAAGCCCAAGTGCAAACAGGCCCGTGTCAGAGCTGTAAAAGAAGGGTTACCAGTGGTGCCACTCTCCAGGCCGGAGCCGTAGGCGGTGACGAGGGCGGGATTGCCCGCCTGGCCCGGCTCGCCCACGCGCACTTTGAAGGGGCTGCCCACCACGTGGCTGCCGTTGAACTTCACGTCGATGGAGTGGATGCCGTTCTCGTGGGGGATGAACCGCACGGCGTACTTATCTGCAAGAGAGAAGCAGCTTTCCTGGCATTTCCAAGATAACAATGACGCAGCAATTAAACCCCATGCAGGGCTGGTGAGCAGCCCAAGCAAGGCTTCCGTAACACTTTGCATATTATGACCCCAGCTTAAGCAAACTCAAGATACAGAAGCTGTTAAGCTCTTTTTAAGTAGGAAAACACTGTATTTTTCTCTGGAGGTGTCACAGGTTGCATTTTCACCTTATCTACTAGGGCCTGATCTCAGCTGTCATCTAGTCTGCAGGGTGAGTTTCAGGCTTATTTGCCTCACACGTGCACTAAACGTGACAACTCAATCGTAGCCCAACCTGTCAGCAGTTGAGGGAGCAGCACAGAGAAGAAAAGCAGCTGGTAAGAGCAATCCAATTCTTACCAGCAGGCTGAGCATGTTGCTCTGACACCTCAGACCTTATTTAATAAAGTAATTTAGCAATTTGCTGATACTTAACATTTTTGGTTGCATGTTAACCCAGAGGGGGGACTGACCTTCCCCAGCCAGACAGCTGCTGTCTATCCACAGTACAGACCATAACTCATGCAGACTTCAAATTAAAAAGAAAAGCTCATTGCTGAAACAGGTGCTGAGCTTTCTGTAGTGTTTGCTTATACTCAGCTTCCTTGACATTTCGTATGAAGGAGTAAGTGCGAGTTAAAAATAAACTGTTAGTCAAAGATGGAAGCATAGCTTTGAAAAATAAACTTCTTTCCCAGCTAAATTCAACAACCACATTATATTTCATTCATGACTAGTATCATTGTACCTTCACTGGCAAGGCAAGACTCAAATATCTGTGATTTCCACAAGTCAGGGCTCAGCCATTTCATGAGCTATCCAGGAAAAGCCTGACATAACCCGGACTGAACAACTCTTGACAACAAGAAGTCGCTCCCCAAGCAAAGTGATTGTTCCTTGGGTACACTGTTTGCAAGTCAATGGGGCTAAACCCCCTCACTACAGGGCAGCAAGCATGTTTTGGAGGTCATCCAGTTTGCTTTGCCCATGGTAAAGCCGTGCTCACCTGGCTCCAGCTCCGACACGTGGCACTCTTCTACAGCTCCGGAGGGGCTGTGAACTTTAGCATCAATCTTGCCCTTTGCCCCGTTCAGCCTTATAGCAAAGGATGCTGGCTGATTAGCTTTTAATCCAGATTCCTGAGGATGCAACAGTCAGGTTATCAAATTTAAACTTCTCATTTCAAACAGCAAAATTTGTGGCAGGGAAATAACCACCTCGGCACAATTTTTACTTTCTTTTTCTTTTAGACTTTAACAAAAGGCATAAAGTTCTGACTTGTATTAACTTCCAAATCAGAAGCTCTTAGGGGGTGGCTGATTCAGGAGTCCCTCACACTGGCTAGGCTTTTTTCCCATAGTAACAGACCATTTTTGGAATCCAAGTGACTCGGCCAAATCAGGCAGAGGCAGGTTTATGGGACTAGTCACCCATTATCACGGAGGTCAGCCCCCAGTGCACTTGATTTAAAGGATGCTTGAGCTATAGCTCCATTTTCAGCCCATTCATTCATTCCAGATTCATTCAGAGGAAAAGCCTCTGATAATAATCCAGTTGTCTGAAAGAGTAATATGCATGTTTATATTTGCCACAAGAGGTTGCATTTAGAATGCCTCCACAAGATTTTTAACATGAGAAAGTAATTTAAAACACAAAACCAGATGTTGCCAGGCTGTCAGGCCATGGGTGGAAGGTGAGGCAGCTCAGCACCCCTGTTGCAGTGGTCCTCAGCCACAGAAGCCTCTGCACCCATCCAGCAGTAATGTTTCATGCTGAATATACTTTACCTGACTTTGTTTTCAACTAAATCCTGAAGAGGGAAATAAATGCAACTGAGTAGAACTGAGGTACAATGTACAAAGCAAGCCCCTGGTGTGGGTGGAGCAGAGGCTGATGCAGCATCACTGTGCTCCACTTCTGAATACTCAGCTTTATCTGCCTCTCCAGGACTTAATTGAAGAGAATATTCCTGTCAAAGAGTCTTTAAATGAAACACAAGAGAAACATCAATACCACAGTGACTAATTAACGCCCTTGTAACTCCGGGTTAGAAGAGATACTATTGGATCAGGCTGTCAGGATTCATTTACACAGCCAAGGTGGAGAAGTCCTGCAGCCCAGGCAAACTCCTGTAGACCACAGGTGGGACACATCAAAGAAAAAAAAAAGCCTCAATTGTAGTACTAATTGCTTATCACAACTCAATGAGGACTCAGGTACAGATTCTCAGTCTCATATCCAAGTTTCTGGCTTTGGAGTCTTAAGTCAGGCTTTAATGTTACTTGTATTTTAATGTATGTAACCACACACAAAAATGATATGGTGTGGTTAACAGATGAGCCCAGACCCACTAAAAAGCTGTGATTCACTCTGTGATTCACTCTGTGATTAGCTACTGTTCATGAACCATCTGAGCTGCAACTGTGTGGGTTGGTGACATCGGCCAGAGCAAATCCCTGCTCTGACCTCATGGGGAGGCCCCTCCATCTGCCTGCATCAGAGCTCCAGCAAGGCTGCAGCACTGTCCCAGCCAAGCAGCCCTACACTGCCTCACTCATGGAAACCCAGCTCTTCAGTCCATGTGCCAACCGAGTAACTTGGTACCAGCAGGGTCACTGGTGGTTCACGTTCATGTTTGAGTTCTTGGCCTTTCCCTAGCTAATGGGACAGAAACCAAGTGTTAGCTCCTCCAATGCTATTTCTAGAGCCACTTATTTTTAATTCTCAGACGTTCCACCTTTGATACACTCAACTGAGCCTTCTGCCTTCAAATTCTGGCTAGTCAGACCTGGGGCAGTTCTACCGGCCCAACTTACCAAGGGGCCAACTGCCAGAAACCTCTGTCTGCAATCTGAGCTTGAAAACAAGCACCAACCAAGGCAAGGCTACCACTAAGAAGAAAGGATAACCATTTTGGTTTTGGAGAACAAGGACGAAATCAGTCTGTGTGGCAAGTTGTGGAGATGTTTCCTTATGTCTCACCTGAAGGCTAGTGACAGTGAGCCTGCGAGCATCATCAGAGGGGGCGATGATGGGGACCAGGTAGGGGCTTTCAGGAATGTGCTCATCATTGAACTTTATGGACACCTCATAGTTGCCTGCAGGGAGAAAAGAAGCAGTGAGTGTCCTTAGTTCTTTGAAACTAGCATTCAATGTTATTTCAGTATGATTTGGTCTTCGTACATACCTGGCTCTTGAACTATGTATGATACACCACAAGATCCATCTTTATGGTCCTCAAAGGCAATTTCTGCTTTACTTGGACCTTCTACAGCAATAGACAGTCCTCCAGCTCCAGCTTCCCTTGTCCATATGCTGAACTCAGCTGTTGAAGCACATAAAGCACACACAAGAGTAAGTCTGCTGCTGCTGAGTAGCAGATTCTTCCCAATACACTGTTCAGCATCCCATACTTATTTTCATGAGGAATGGTACCTCATCCCATCATCCCAGGTAATAACACTTAGCCATTTCTCCAAGAGGCTCCTATTACCTTGAATTAGCCTATAAGCCCTGTATAATCACCTCACAATCTCAAGCTCATCCTAAGAGCAGTCAGTTTCCAAACCATGGATTTCCAGACTACTCCGTTCACATGATGCAGCAATATTATTTCTCCATAACTTCTGATGACTGCAGACCTGTGCACAGCAGGCACTGGAGCTTAGGGAGAGCAGAAGACTCACCTGGGACACCTGTCTCTCCACGCTCCAGCCCTGGACCTCCAGCTCTCACTTTATGGGCTCCTCCCTCGCCCAGTGGCCCCACAGTGAACTGGAAGGGGCTGCCTGGCACTGGCTGCCCTCTGTATTTGACATCCACAGTGTGGACCCCCATTTCTTGTGGCACAAAGCGGATGCAATAGGTATTTTTGTCAGCTTCCATGATTTCGGCATCGAAGTTTCTTCCAGAAGGACTAGTTACCTGGGCTGTCATATCTGCACAATCAATTTCTAACAAGAAGAGAATAAAAACCACAGATTAGAAAGTGACAAAGGGTTTTGGTATTTTATTTTTGGAAGCAGGACCTGAATTCAAGTGATTACACAGCACAAACAACAGAAGATTCACAGAGGTGCCAGTTTGTATGCTCAGCTGCTGAGCCAGTTACACCAGGTGCTGTGGAGGCAGATGAGAAGGCTGGATAAGTGCAGCCAGCTCTGTCCTACAGGATTCACATCTGTTAGAGAGCAGTACAAACACTTAACAGCCAACTGGATGATCTTAAAACCCTGGAGACAGAGTGAATTGTGCAGCCCATTCTCCAGCCTGCTGTACACAGAACAGATCAGGACCTCACTGGTATTTATTTCTCCATGTGTTCATCATGGTTATGCTTATTTTTAACCATTCAAAGAGACCACACTACCAGTGCTTCTTCCCTAAACTCTCTTACTATGAGGAAGTCTTAGCAACAATGAAGTTCCTATTTGCATGCTGTACAATTACAAATTATGGGGATAAGGACTTTGCTTACCTGGAATTTTTAGGTTCAGATCACATATGCTTCCTACTGTTGCAACAGAGGGAGCTCGTCTTGTTCGTGTGATGCTCTCTTTAACTCTTCCTTCACCACTTATCTTCACAGTAAATGGGCTGCCTGTAAGTATCACAGCAAGTCATTCCTCCTCTGTTCATTACATGCTGCCTCGAGGGTGAGTGAAAGCTTCCTCTGACTTGCAGTGGATCACAGGGGAAGTTCCAGAGCCAGCTAACAGTGAGGTCCCAGTGAAATACACACAGGTAACCACAACAGTTTTAGATGTTTCCTGCTTTTGGAGGGTACTGGTAAGACCTCCTTGAATCTTTGGGACTTAAAGTCCTAGCCAGACCACACAGTCCACCCACAGTTCCAGTGCAATAAGACTTTTGTTTTACTAATCAAAACTTTGCCCAATACTTCTGCTTACCTGGAATATGTTCATCTGCAAATTTAGTGGACACAATGTACACGCCAGGTACAGTTGGAAAATAGGATACTTTGCAAGTTCCATCTTCTAGGTCTTCAGTTTGGATGTCTACCTTGCTGGGTCCTTCAACTGCCAGTGAGATCCCACCATAACCTACAACACAGCTAGGTTAGCCTCAGCTTTCCACAGTGCTGTTAAAAATGTGACATAAAATAGTCCAAACTCATAGCAGTAGTTAGTGAGTAGATTTGTATCATAATGGGCATATGGGAGTTGCATGATGCCTTAATGAGATTTCCATAGTCCTAACCAGTCAAGTATTCAAGACGCAATTCAGCTCCTGAAATGCATTAGTGTTGAAATTTCATTAGTGTTGAAAAATTAGCTTCAAAGACTGTGTCCAAGGCTCTACATTAAACCAAGGGGGAAATATCATCCTCATTTTCTTCTTGCTGTACACAATACTAGAACCAGCACCATATCAAATGAAAGAAAAGCTTCATCAGTGCCTCAGTGACATCCTGTTGGCTGTAATGGAAAACATCAGCCAAGACAATGCAAAGTATTGTACAAGTTAATAGCACTGTCTGTAATTAATAACTGACAGTAATGACAGTGTGTGCTTAATACACAATTTGCATCTGCTGCTTTGTGGCTTGTGGCCCGGTGGTCACATGCTGTGGGAAACAGTGCTCTCATTTAGAGGATACACATCTCACAGCATCTCACACTCTCCTTGCCACAGAACTCACCTGCATCTCTTGTGTCTACAATGAAGTCACACATTTCAAAGGTTCGTCCCTCTACCAAGCCACGCCCAAACACTCTCGCTCGTCTGGCATCTCCTATCTCAGACTGGACCACCATGATTGTTACAGGGCTGTTTGGTACATGGCTCCCATTTTTCTTGATGCTAACCAGATGTTCTCCTACTTCCCGTGGAATGAATGAGATGCCTACAAAGAAGAGAAATGTGACCAACTTATTAACTTTTTATGCGTATTATAATTGATTTAAATGCCTTAATCACACCAATAAATTGAACATGAATGAGCACTCTCTACCCGTGTTGAAGTCTGGCTCTCAAATGGGCCACGAAGCCATTCACATATGCTGACAAAAGCCACTTCAAACACAACCTGGCACATTATATGCAGGCTAAGACAGTAAGTCATTCTTCACACTCTTCTGTGTTTGGCCAATTGTACAAAAAATTATCAACCACATGGTTTGACAACACTTCTCTGGGTAGAAGCATAGAAGTCAGTCATTTTACATAGTAAAGCAAACTGGAGTAGAGGCTACTAAACTATTCTCTCAGATCCAAACTGTCAGAGCTTACCAATGTGGTTATTGGGCAGCCTCTTCAAAAGACAAGGCTCATCACGACCTGATGGGGCCTTAATGCTGGCTGTTAGGAGGCTGAGATCAGTCTCATTGATGTCCAACAAAAAGTCAGCAGCAGAACCAAGCTTAACTTGGGACCTTCTTCTGTTATCATCTGAATATAGAAAAAGAGAAATTAATCAGAATATTCTATAAGGCTAAGTACAGAACAAGCCAGAGGACGTTTATGTTTATTCCACAAACCAGGTCCCCCATTCTACCAGGGGTTAATTTTAATTATGAAGTGCTTCCAGAAGTCTAAACTTTATACCTGTGATCCTGGCTGTGAATGGACTGCCTGGGATGTGCTTGTCATTGTACTTGACCAGGATGCTGTAGTTCCCAGGTAGAGTAGGCAGGTACGTGACTGTGCATGTCCCATCTTTGTTATCAATGCAGCTGATCTCTGCTTTTGAAGGCCCTTCAATAGCCAAGTCCAGCCCACCTAGGAAACAAGAACAGCACTTCCATAAATCTTTATGCTCACGAAGTCCAAAGACGAAGATCCACTTGGTACTGAAAATACAGCTCAGATGCCTGTTTTCAAAGGACAGTAGCAAAAAAAGCCCAGGTCAACCCACTGAGACCACATCGATTTAGTCTGTTAGATTTACCTAACAGTGATTCCACATCCACTAGTTCTAAGCTGCCTTCAGTTCATTTTTAATTAAATGAATCTTTTGCACCCCGTACCACAGGGTATATCTGCTCTCAGGAAGAACTAATAAGATAGCTTTTACTGCAGGTTGCAGCTTCATGAAATCTCTTTCATCTGATATTTGCACAGGTCATTAGTATTGTATCAGAGAGTCACAGTTGGACAGATGAATGCAAATTAATACTGATGTGCACAGCACTTCCAACAAGGTCCTAACTTAGGGTAGGATGGGTTTAAAGAGCAGACTTACCCTCGCCTGCATCTTCTGTGACAATGGTGAAAGTTGCTGGTTTATTGGCAACCCCATAAATGAGGCCAGGCCCATAAGCAGACACACTGCCACTGTTCGGATAATTCACATAGAACTGCAGAGGGCTCTCTAAAGAGGAAAAAAAACCAAAAAACAAACAACAAAAGAAGCATTTCTAAGGATGAATGGCCTACACATAAGAACAAAACAGACATCCAGCTGCTCTTTAGTCAATAAAAGTAAAGATTTTACTTTTATTCTTACTGATACCCACATTCTTCGATGCCATTCTCATAATTTGATATTTGAAGAACCTTTATGTAACTGTAAAGCACTTTAAAAAAACCAAACAAAAACAAGTAAGCCTCCAATTTCATCTTCAAAAGATACTTCTCCACAATTTGTTCCACGTTCAGTCATGACAAAGTAAGCCTTACTCAAATTGCCAGAGATAAGCCTCAATGATGTTGTAAAGGGTCTTATTCATTACAAGTTTATTTTTAGCACATTAAATCAGAACATGACTCAGAAGCAGGCTTTCATTTCAGGCACAGATCCTGAATTTCGGTAGCTCAGAATTAGGAACTAACACAGCATATTGTCTGTTTCAATGAACCTGAACTAGCAAATTTGAAGGGTATCCAAAAGCATATTTGCCAGCCTCAGATTAGCTAAGCTGGCGCACAAGAACAAAAAGTACAGTCACCAACAGCCAGTAATGGTTTCTGAAAAAGGCACAGATGGCTCTGAAGTCCAAAGCTAGGAGGATTTGCAGCTGAGACAGTAGCAAGTTTGAGTCATGATGGCCTTCAAGGAGGAAACACTACGGCACATCATCCTGTGGCCCAGGCACAGGGTAATGGTCTCACTGAACCCATACATCCAACAGTTTGGCACAGCTGCTACATCCATACAGTGTTGAAGACTGAAGCAGCACCACGCATCATGTTATTGAGCTCCCTGCTCCAGCTAAAGTTATCCTTTGTCTCTGTGCAACAACAGAAGGAGCAGCACAGTGCTGGCATTGTGTCTCACATCTACATACACTTGTAAAGATCTGCCCCTTCTCCCCCCAGCCCCACGCAGCCCGCACGGCCGGAGAACCGTGGGGCAGCCCCAGCCTCTGGGCAAGGCAGAGCTTTGGCTGGGGAAGGACAAAGGAAGAGAAGAGAAAGGGAATGTAAGGCAGTGGTTTCTGTTTGTTAGAAGCAGCCAGGAAGAAAAGATTTTGTGCGTGTGTGGTTTATTTTATTGCAACGAGATGAAAAGAGTAACTACATCGTTTTAGCCACTTAGTCCTCACCACAGATGGGAGGGTTTATGCCAATGCAGTTTTAGAAATAAACATTCACTGTAACCACTAGTTTTGTTGAGCACCATGGCAGCAAATTTTAACCTGACAAAAAATAGTAGCTAGAAGATTGTAAGTTTCCTCTTCATAATAAAATGCCACAAAAGCTAGTTTCCAAAACCAAAATCCATTTTAAGCCTGGCTGGTACTATTAAACCACAATGGAAGCTCACATGTGCTGGCACATACTCCCTTGCTTTAGTTGCTCTCTGGGATGTATGCAGATGACCAGTAACATAACCCAGGCAGTTCTTATAGCAGCATGTACAACTAAGCTACAGAAACCTCCCCAGGAGCATCAGTGGGATGCTGCACATGGATTTGTGTCACCTGCTTTGTCAAACTCACCTGGGATGTGCTTTCCCATATATTTTATGTGCATTTCATGCAGCCCAACCTCAGTAGGAGCATATCTCACTGTTACTGTGCCATCTTTGTTATCCATAATATCTGGTGTATCCGTCTTCCCAGAGGGCATGTGTACTTCACCTACAAAAAGACACCATGGGGGTTACAGAAGGAGAAGCTGGCTGCTTCCCCCTCCTACCCACAAAGTATTGTCTAGCCACTTTAAGCAAGCATTTAAAATTGTTAATTACCCAAAGGCACAAATAGGAGACTAGTGGGAACACTAACCAGACATGTTTTCTACTTAAGCTACATGAATACAAGGCCATGGTAGACATCTGGCAAACAGTCCTGTGACCTTACAAACTCTACAGGCCTGGCTGTTTGCTTCAGCCACTGAAATTTCTACAGCAAATCCCAGGAAAGGCACTGATCTATCTCGTCACAAGACACTCCTTCTCCTGCTCCTTTTGAAAAGGTAAGATCAACTGTCCCTTCAGCAGGGAAAGACAAGGGCTCAAGGTGGGACTACTGAACTGAGGACAGGAGGGGACACAGCCCCTGAGCGCAGGAGCTTTGTGTACCCAGAATGTTCCTGGGCCAATGCTCTCAGCCACCAGACCTGTGGAGGAGGGGTTGCGGGCTCTGGAGAAGGTATGTGACAGGAATGCAGGATTAGACTGTTTGGCAGCATCTACACAAAATAAATAACGGAGCTTATCAAGGGTGCATGTAACTGCTCCAGAGGGGAAAAAGCAGCAAGTCCTACAGTGCAGTACCTTACAGGCTAGTACTAAGGACCACAGCAGGCCCAAGAACCCCCTCATTTAACTCAAACCATCAGCGGGGTGTATCCTACTCACCCCTCAGTGGGTGCCACTTGATGTGAAACTAAACAAACAAGTTGCTGGCAGGATACAATCCTCCCCCACATGCTGTGGTCTAGACCACCCAGACTGCAAATGGATAAACATGCTAAGAAAAAGCAAAACCTCCCCGAGAGGCTGCATGTACTCCAGGTACCTGTTATTTCTCCTTTCCTTACAGCAAAAGGGATAACCATATCAAAGGGCCTGAACCCCATGCCGTTCATGTCTCCAACCGGGACATAAGCTTCTTCTGTGACCTAAAGGAAGCAAAAGGATGGGACACTTCAAAAAGGATGGTAGACTCAGAGGAGCACTGAGCAACTCCACTGCAAGCATAAGCAGGAGAGAGGGCAAGGTGATTATCACAGCCAGGCACAGGACTGGGCTCAGCCGGAGCAGGGCCCGGCCGAGCTCTCCTCCCTGACACCACCACACAGCAGAGAGAATCACACACGGCGTGAATGGCAGACATGCTGGAAAAAAGTTAGAGGTAAAAATGGAACACAAAGGGATGGAAGACAATGCAGTGCACACACAAGACCCAAAGTGGCTCCATCTGAAAGGATTTAGTTGCTTAAGGCCTGGAAGAGAAAGTGATTTTTTATTTTTTTTTTAATGGGGCAGAGTGATTGCAACACAAAATGGACAAAAGAAACAAATTTTACAATGCCATTCTGGACTTGAGACACTGTGCTGTTTTACTGAGAAAAAGCGATGCACTCAGGTTGCTTTTGCCAACAGGAGACATGGCAGAAGTAGAAGCTGCAGGTGTAATGATCCTCTTCGTGTTTAAATGAGAGTTTATTTTGAGACCCCCTTCAAGCGGCAAAGAAAAAACAAGGTCCGGATCCCCAGAACAATTGATCAAACAGAAAGAATGAACACAATGACCAGAGCGATTCAAGCAGTCCCAAGAAGCAGGCTGTCATCTGAAATGGAACACAGATGGGGGGAAAAACAGCTGAAAAATGTAAAAATTGTGTACCCAAGGGCGGAATCCAGGGGGGGAGGCGCCCAGTGGCTCCTGCGACCGCACGGCAGCATCATCTGCATCTACAGCCTGGGCAGGGGCAAAGGCAGGTCAGGTGTTATTGTGGCACAGAGGCAGTTCCACCTTTCACAGCACAGAATGCACAGCTCCCTCCAGCTCCTCAGCACCTTCCTCCCACCACACAGCCCACCCAGTCCTCTCGCCACTGCAAGGACCTGGATCCAGCCAGGGGAGCCGGGAACCTGCCGGTACCCACAGGAACTGGGGGAAGCCATCAGCAGTACAGCAAAGGGACAAACCCAGTACGTGCCATTGTTGGGAGCCTGGAAGGGAGGCTGGAGGGCAGTGCCTAAACACTGCTGGAATTGAATTTCAGAGCTTTTATGGGAGAGAGGGAGAGAAGTGAAAGGCTGAAACCCAAATCCCCAGGCATTGCACAGTGGGACATGGCCTGTGAGCCAGGAGGCCGGGGAGCCTGCTGCGTGGGAAGGCTGCTCCCAGCTCCTGCACCAGGGTGAGTGACCCAGCCCACATCCCATCATAGCTGCAAAGCTACTCTTCTGATTCATAGCTGGGACAGCGTCGTCAAGGCACCAAATGTGTTTTCCCCCCGCGCAACCTCCCTTTCCCACCAGGCATGCCAAGAGGATGACTTGCAAATTCCCATCTCCCCCACTCAACCCAATGAGAGCAGCTGGGGCTGACACCCCCGCATGCAGCCCCACCAGCTCCCTCTGCCCGTTTGCATCACTGCAAACCCCCCTAACAAAATAACCCATTGGAAACCTATGCATGGAAAGACTCCACCAGGAAAACCAAAGCAAAACAGAAATACTGCTGCTCTGCTGCTCCCCATCCTTGGCTGAGACATCCAAGTCAGACACCCACTGTATCAGTCAGCTAGGGAGTGGGAATTTTGGCTGGCCAAGAGCAGGCTCTCTGACCTCAAGAGGCATTTCCTGTGGTGAGCTTTGAGTAGTGACCAAGAGAGTCATTTTTCTCATGGAAATCTTTGGAGACACCAGTAGCAACCTGGCAAGATGGCAAGTAGGAAAAGCCAGAGTGTCCAGCCCCAAGGATTTTGCCCACAGGCAGTGGCCAGACTCAGTGCAAGTACAGCCGTGTGGTTCCATAGACCAAGACATGCTGGAGGCCACCTTGGCTGAGGTTACAAGACCAAGACTTTACCAACACTGAGAGCTGTTCTTCACCTGAAGGGCTTCTGTGAACCCCAAGAGGCATAGTCTTCTCCTCAGGGAGACTGGGACTCTGCTTTTTAAACCTAAACATGCTGAAGTACTGCATGTTGAAAGATCATTATTAATGAGAGATATTTAGCCATAACAGTTTAACTAGCACTTGCAAATAATTTTTAAGTGTGAGTGAACAGCCTGCTTCCCTGTGATCTGTCAGCTGAACGTTCCTTATTTTGGGGTCAACATTATAAGAAGTGAGAGATGGACAAGTGAGAGCACAATATCTGACAATGGCTGAAGTAATTAGCTGTAGAAGCTGATTACAACCACCCCTTACATCATTTAGAAGAACTACATGATCATGAAATAAAAATTTAATTTGCTCAGAGAAGCCAAGTCTCCATCCTCTGATGGTTTCTATCTGTCTTCCCTTAACTGTATTGCCTGCCTCAAATAAGCTCTGCAAGTAACGAGAATTCATTAGCTCCTGCTAATCTAATAAACGCCTAATCATTTACACACAGAGTTAACCTATCACTAAATAAAACGTGACAGCAGGAA